GGGAGGTCCTGGGATTATAGTACTCTGGACAAACAAAATAAGATAGAGGAAGAAAAGAAAAACCTGGAATTATTGAAGTTGTAATTTTGCAAGCTTTTAAAAATTAAAATAAATTAAGGACAGTTTGTTTCTCAACTCAAAGAACTTAACACAAGGGAACTTGTCAATATTTTTCAAAATAGCTTTAACATTCTTATTTCACTGACGTTCACCACTGTTACATGCATTAATGCTGAGGGACATTAGAAAGTTTACATGCACATACATCACATTTCAAAGTGCCTCAGATATGAAAGTTATGTTCAACTATGGCAACATAAGCATGGAAACATGACAGCAAATTTTGCAGGTCATTCTTTCACACTTGATTTGTTTTAAGTAACAGGGAGAAGCAGAGGTCCAGAGAGCAAGAGAACTTCCTACATACAAAAAACAAAGTGCTGGAGAAATTCAGCAGGTCTGGCAGTATCTGTGGAATGAAGACAGCTAAATGTTTCACGCTCAGTGACACTTCATTAGAACTAGTTCTCTCCACAGATGCTGCCAGACCTGTTGAGTCTCTCCAACACTTTGTTTTTGTTTCAGATTTCCAGCAACTGCAGTTCTTTATTTATGAGAACTTTCTACCTTCAGCTGTCTGCTCTAAGCTCTGGAATTTCCTCCCCAAATTCCTACATCACCTCTTTAAGGCACTGATTAAAATAAATATCTTGGACCTAGCTTTTGGTCATCTGTTGTGCGCACCATATGGAGTTATGGCATCTAAGAGAAGTGGTATCCCATAGATTTCAAATGCTATCTACTGCCACAGCTTTATCATATGGAGTACAAACTGGGGTATCTCAATAGAAACATACAGAAGTGACCAATCACCCCAACTTAGTCTGTGCCACCTCTTTGAAGACTTTCCTCAAAATACATGCGTCCTTTACAATTGCTCATCAAGCTCGCTTCTAAAAGCTCCTCCCGAATCAATTTTCCATTCTACTTTCAGGAGGTGCATTCTAGATTAAAACTCACTGCTTAAAATAATTTATCCTCATCTGCCATCGGATTCTTTCGCCGATGACTTTAAATGTGTTCTGTCGCTGCAAACTAGACAGTGCAAGCAGTTTCTCCTTCCCAAAATATGGTGTTCAGTATTGAACATTATATTCCTTCAGGGGCCTAACTAGGGCTTTATAGTTGTTTAATTTCCTTGACTTTTGTCTCTACTCAAAGCCAAGGATTTCTCATACTTTCTGAAACAGCATTTTAAAAAAAATAATAATTTATGGGTTCTGGGCATTGCTGCCTTAGGCTAACTGCCCAGAGAGCAGTTAAGAGTCAACCACAGTGAGCCAGGAGTCACGAGTACGCCAGATCAGGTAAGGATGGCACATTTCCTTCCCCAACAGCATTCATAACCAGGTAAGCATATTTTTATTCCAGATTTTACTTGAAATTTATTTCAAATTTTACCATCTGCCATGGTGGGATTTAAGCCCAATGTCCACAGAACACTGACCAGATTATGGATTGCTAGTCCACTGACATTACCACTGTGCCACTGCCTTCAATGCTGGTTGGTTATGCCTCAAGAAATGACAAGGGAGCTGGGTCTGTGCACAAGTTGTTGCTTTACCTCATCAGTTGGATTTTGCATGTTTCCTTTTGGAACTTTGCCTGGGTTATCAACATCTCCCATTTCATTTAACTCCACATGGAAAAGATAGAAGACAAATCCATACAGTGCTGGACCAAGGCCATTGCACAATCCTCTGATTCCAGTGATCATTCCTTGTACAACTCCTGTAGGGAAAGGGAAAAAAAAAATCTCATAGACCACAAGGCATAGGTGCAGTAATAGGCCATTCAGCCCATGGGATGTGCTCTGCTGTTGAAGACTTCACATTTCAACTGTGAAGTATTAAATAGACAGGCTGAATTTACTCTTGCCCAAGCTAAAATGAATTGCAAACTACATTTAAAAAAGAACTTTTTTTTGAATTGCAAATTCAATCAGTTGTCCCCTCCACTCATGCCCTGTTAACACTGATTCCCTGAGTTCCAGTAGCCCTACACTGCCATGCTAAAATACGAGGATGGGAAAGTTGTGACAGGATGTTGTTATTTACAGTTACTCAAGATTCATCATTTGTCCTGTCCACTTGGACCTACTTTTGCCATGCACCATCACCACTTGTTATTTAGTCACACCTGCCTTACTCTAGACCAGTGCTTCCCTCTAATTCTTAGCCATGTCACCTTCTGCCTATGCTTACTTAAAAGTAATGTTAACATATTCCAGTCCTAGTGAAAGGAGAGGTTATAAATGCAAAACAGTCTGTTTTTTCTTTACAGATGCACTCAATTTCAACATTTTCCAACTACCAGCTTTTTAAGTGTTTTGCTTTTGACAGACTGTATGGCATCACAGCTCATACACAGTATGGCTACTTGGTGATTTCAAACCAGTGACTGATTCTTTCCTCCCCAGCCACTCCTGCAGAAATTCAAAGATCCTACAGAGTACCATCCAAACCTACAACTTCTACCATCAAGAAGGACAAGGGCAGCAGATACATGGCAACACCATCACCATCTGGAAGTGTCCCTCCAAGCACACACCATCCTAATTTGTAAATTCATAGCCATTCCTTTAGTATTGCTCTGTCAAAATCCCACAATTATTTTCCTATTGGCACAATAGGTCTACCTGCAGCAGTTCAAGGCAGCAGCTCACCATCACCTTCTCAAGGGCAACTCAGGAAGGGCAATAAATGTCAGCTGAACCAGTGAGACCCACAAGGCAATTCTCTTTTCAATTCATTCAGGGGTTGTGGGCTTCGCTGATTCAGTTAACGTTTATTGTCCGTTCTTAACTGCCCTTAAGGTGGTGGCGAGTTACCTTCTTGAACTGACACAGTCAATTTGGTGTTGATACACTCAACGCCATTAGGGAGGGAATCCAGCATGTCTTAAAACTGTTTCACACCTGCTACACACTGCATGGTCCAAGGAGAAAAAGGAAATAGCCTACCTTGTTGATCTGGATCGGCATTCCTAGAAACTAGAGCACTGACCGCTGGGAAGGTGATGCTGGACATGGCAGCCACAGCTCCCGCTGCCCACATCATCCTGCAAAAAACAACATAAACAATCCATGTCAACATTTCAATAGTGGAGACTAGTTCTCCCAACTACGTTCTTTAGTTCAATCACTCAACAGTTCAGGCAGCAGCAACATGGCGTACCCTTGAAAATGCAGGTGCACCATGGGAATAAGGAAGGTGGTTTCTGAAATGTGAGCACAGTGTGCCAGTCCCGATAGACCATACAAATACACCCACATGAACAATACCATACCGGAATGAAAAGGGAAATGATAATGCAGGTATCAATGTCCATTATGCATATAAATGGGTCAAACCATCGGAAATAGTCAGCATAAAAGCATCTATTCAAACTCCAGCAGTCAACTTTAAAACACAGGAGCATCTGCTCAGTTTTGTTACATGTTACGGAGTACAAATGACATTTTTTTTTGTTTAAAACCCATTTCTTTTGATAAACTCTGCTTAAAAGTAAAAATGTTCATTTAAAGGTTTTGTAAGGTTTCCTATTATTGAAGTTGCAAATGAAACTAAATTTTCCCAAAATCAGCTGCTCTGCATACACGGGAACAGATTTAGGTGCTGTTTGTTTTAGTTACTTCTTGCTCCACAAGCTGTATCCCATCACATCAACAGCTAGGATGAAAGACAGCTGAGCTAGCTGTGACTAAAGCTATACCTAATAATACCTTGAGATTTTTAAGTTGCCATGGTGAACATGCTTGGGCAGTTTTACTTCATGTTCTGTACTATTTAGAGGCCAAAGGACAAGTGGTTCCAGCAATGCCAAAAAGTCAAACATGAAAGGAGATGAAACAGGTTGAGCTGTCTGGGGAAGAAATGTGGCACTACACTTCCAATAGCCTGGAGCCTAGTCAGCTGGCTGTTGAATGTATGTTTAGCATCGTATCCTATTATGGAAAAGGTCTCAGCATGAAACTTTATCTGAATGCTCGGAGCATTCGAAACAAGGTGGATGAGTTGACAGTGCAAATCATGAAAAATGGGTATGATTTAGTGGCCATTACAGAGACATGGTTACAGGATGGTCATGACTGGGAATTAAATATCCAGGGGTATCAAACTGTTCGGAAGGACAGACAGGAAGGTAAGAGAGGTGGTGTTGCTCTGATATTTAAGGATGATATCAGGGCGGTAGTGAGAGATGATATAGGTTCTACTGAACAAAGCGTTGAATCCATTTGGGTGGAAATTAGGAATAGCAGGGAGAAGTAGTCACTGATAGGTGTGGTCTATAGGCCACCAAATGATGACATCGTGGTGAGGTGGACAATAAACATAGAAATAGCTAATGCATATAAAAATAGTGCAATTATCACGGGGGATTTTAATCTACATATCCATTGGTCAAACGAGGTCGGTCATGGCAGCCTTGAGGAAGCGTTCATAGAATGCATTCGTGATAATTTCCTTGAATGATATGTAATGGAATGTACGAGGGAGCCAGCTATCCTAGATCTAGTCCTGTGTAATGAGACAGGAATAGTTAATGATCTCACAGTTAGGGATCCTTTCGGAAGAAGCGATCACAGTCTGGTCGAATTTAAAATACAGATGGAGCGAGAGAAGGTTAAATCCAGTACCTATGTCCTGTGCTTAAACAAAGGAGACTATGAAGGAATGAGGGAGGAGTTAGCTAAGGTAGAATGGGAGCTAAAACTTTATGGTGGGTCAATTGAGGAACAATGGAGGACTTTCACAACGATTTTTCACAGTGCTCAGCAGAAGAAGTATATTCCAGTGATAAGGAAGAACTGTAGGAAAAGAGAGAGCCAGCCATGGGTGTCTAAGGAAATAAAGGAAAGTATCAGATTGAAAAAAAACACATACAAAAAAGCAAAGAGTAGTGGGAAACTAGTAGACTGGAAAATCTTTAAAGGCCAACAGAAAGCCACAAAAAAAGTTATAATGAAAAGTAAGATAGATTATGAGAGTGAACTAGCTCAGAATATAAAAACAGGCAGCAAAAGTTTCTATAAATGTGTAAATCGTAAAAGAGTGGCAAAGGTAAACATTGGTCCTTTAGAGGATGAGAAGGCCAATTTAATAACTGGGAATGAGGAAATAGCCGAGACATTAAACAGTTATTTCGTGTCGGTCTTCACAGTGGAAGACACAAATAACATACCAAAAACTAATGGCAAGAAGGTTATAGCAGGTGAGGACCTAGAAACTAAGGAGGCAGTGCTGGGCAAGCTAATGGGGCTAAAGGTAGACAAGTCTCTTGGCCCTGATGAAATGCATCCCAGGTCACTAAAAGGGGTGATGGGGGAAAATAGCAAATGCACTGGTAATTATTTACCAAAATTCACTGGACTCTGGGGTGGTTCCCGCAGATTGGAAAACAGCCAATGTGACGCCACTGTTTAAAAAAGGAAGTAGACAACAAGGGTAACTATAGGCCAGTTAGCTTAACTTCGGTAGTGGGGAAATGCTTGAATCTATCATTAAGGAAGAAAGAGCATGACATCAGGATATAAATTGTCCCGTTGGGAACACCCAGCATGGGTTCATGAAGGGTAGGTCATGTTTAACTAACTTGGTGGAATTCTTTGAGGACATTACTTGCATGGTGGACAATGGGGAACCTGTGGATGTGGTGTATCTGGATTTCTAGAAGGCATTTGACAAGGTGCCACACCAAAGGCTGCTACATAAGATAAAGTTGCACGGTATTACAGGTAATGTATTAGCATGGATAGAGGATTGGTTGACCAGTAGAAAGCAAAGATTAGGGGTAAATGGGTGTTTTTCTGGTTGGCGGTCAGTGGCTAGTGGTGTGCCTCAGGGATTAGTGTTGGGACTGCAATTGTTTACAATTTACATAGATGATTTGGAGTTGGGGACTAAGTGTGGTGTGTCAAAATTTGCAGATGACACTAAGATGAGTGGTAGAGCAAAGTGTGCAGAAGACAAAGACTGCAGAGGAATATAGATAGTCTAAGTGAGTGGGCAAAGGTCTAGCAGATGGAGTACAATGTTGATAAGTGTGAGGTCATCCATTTTGGTAGGAATAACAGCAAAATGGACTATGTTTTAAATGGTAAAAAATTGCAGCACGCTGCTGTGCAGAGACTTGGGTGTCCTTGTGCATGAATCGCTAAAAGTAGGATTGCAGGTGCAGCAGGTAATTAAAAAGGCAAATGGAATTTTGTCTGTCATTGCTAGAGGGATGGAGTTTAAAAACAGGGAGGCTATGCTGCAGCTGTATAGGGTCCTGGTGAGGCCACACCTGGAGTACTGTGTGCAGTTTTGGTCTCCTTACTTGAGAAGAGATATACTAGCATTGGAGGGGGTGCAGAGGAGTTTCACTCAGTTGATTACAGAGTTGAGATTATGAGGAGACGGGGATTATACTCATTGGAATTCAGAAGAATGAGGGGAGATCTTATAGAAACATACAAGATTATGAAGGGAATAGATAAGGTGGAGGCAGGGAGGTTGTTTCCGCTAGCAGGTGAAACTAGGACTAGAGAGCATTGCCTCAAAATAAAGGGAAGCAGATGTAGGACTGAGCTCAGGAGGAACTTCTTCACCCAAGGGGTTGAGAATCTGTGGAATTCCCTGCCCAGTGAAGCGGTTGAAGCTACCTCGCTGAATGTTTTTAAGGCAAGGCTAGATAAATTTTTGAACAGTAAAGGAATTAAGGGTTATGGTGAGTGGGCGGCTAAGTGGAGCAGAGTCTCAAAAAGATCAGCCATGATCTTATTAAGTGGCGGGGCAGGCTCGAGGGGCCAGATGGCCTACTCCTGCTCCTAGTTCTTGTTCTTATGAAACACTTTCACGATAATGGGCCCAAGCAGGGGTAGTGGGAGAAATAAAAGGGATGGTACAAACTAACAACTAGTGGCAAATAGACACAATGGTCCACTCAAAGCAAAACAAGGGGTCAAGACCAGAGACAGTAAGAACTGCCGATGCCGGAGTCAGAGATAACACAGTGGAACTGGAGGAACACAGCAGGCCAGGCAGCATCAGAGGAGCAGGAAAGTTGACATTTTGGGTCAGGACCCTTCTTCAGATAAAAACAAAAGAAGGGTCCCAGCCCAAAACGTCAACTTTCCTGCCCCGCTGTGTTTCTCAAGATCCACACTATGTCATCAAGACCATAACATGTAGGAGCAGAATTAAGCCATTTGGCTACTCCACCTTTCGATCATGGCTGATATATTTCTCAATCCTATTCTCTTGCCTTCTCCCTGTAACTTTTGATGCCTCTACTAATCATGAACCTCCCTCTCGCAGTCTCAAATGACTTGGCCTACTGCTATGAGTTCCACTGATTGATCACCCCCAGCTGAAGAAATTCCTCATCTCAGTTTTGAAGGGTCACCTTTTCACTCGGACACTGTGCCTTCAGGTCATAGTCTCTCCTACTCGTGGAAAAATCTTTTCCACATCCACTCTATTCAAGCCTCTCAGCGGTCTGCAAGTTTCAATGAGATCTGCCTCATTCTTCTAAATTCTATCAATTATAGAGTGCTCAACCACTCCTCATATGACAAGCCCTTCATTCCCAGGATCATCCTAAACCTTCTTTGGACCTCCTCCAAGGCCAGCACATCCTTCCTTAGATGCAGGGCTCAAAACAAGTCATGGTATTCCAAATACAATCATACCAGAGCCTTAAATAGCCCTGGCCATACATCCCTGGTCTTGCATTCTAGCTCTTTAAAAATGAATTGTATTTCCCTTTCTAACTGCCAACTGACAAAATAATCACTAAGAAACTGAATAAGGAATTCAAGAGAAATCTCTCGACCGAAAGAACAGCGAGGATATGACAGTACTGCAGGATGCAACCATGTTGATCAGCTGTCAAGGAAATAAAAATTAATGGAGGCTCACAAACTCTGGGATCTGGAGTGCTGGTAAACCCCACAAAGCAGGGATGGGGCAGTGCAGAGTGAGTGTTACTCTCACGGTTTTTTTTCAAAATAGTGCTGTAATATGTATGAAATTATTTCTGCTGCCATTGGCCATTTGCTATGGGTAAAAGTTTCATTCTCTATCCTCTGAAAAGAAAACACCCCACTAAGGTACACAAAGGGCACCCAGAGAAAAGCAGTGTGAATCAACTGTGCATCTGTTTATTCTCATTTTCTTACTTGCAGCCTGTTCTCAATAAGAAAGCTGGTTCTCAGTCAGCCTGAACCATAACATTGCAGTATAGTGGCGATTATTTAATGTTGTTAGTGATTCATTGGTACAAATATCAATTGAGAAATGGTAAATTGACTACCAGGAAATCATATGCCTGGTAATATCTGAAACTGGTTTAGTCAGGACGCAACTGGGCTCTGGGTTGTTTTGGACTCCCCTTCCCACAGTACTTTAACATTTGTTCTTGTCAACATGTTTTGTGCCTCTGAAATGCTACCTTTTGTTTTAAAAAAGTGATTTTTAAAAATATTTGTGCCACTATGTACCTCAACATGTTCATCTATTCTACTTCTCCAAAGAGGCCATTAACCATAGCCACCAAGCAGGAGTATGCTGTTCAGCAACAGGGGTCACAACATGCACAAGGCTGCAATCAATCTCTCGCACATAGGCACGTGCACACACTCTAACAGGAGTCACAAGATACCATTCAGAAACAAATCTGGTTCAACTCTCCCTTCAACAAAGATTCATCAAAACCCAGTGTAATTCTCCCTCAGAAGATCAGCAAACTGATAAGCAAACATTAAAACAAAGCTCTTCCCAGTCTGTGTGGCTGAGTGACTCATTCTTTGGGTCTACGCTCAAAATCAGAAATTCTCTCTCCAGGCATATACCTGTAATAAATATTTTTCCTATTAATGTTATGATACAGAATATCAAAAAGCAGAGGGTGAACACAGCGCACTGCACCCATGCCAGCTTTTTCGTAAAAATTATCAAACTAGATCCATTCACCGGCTTTTTCCTCTTAATCCTACATATTTTCCAGTTAGGCCACACATTCCTGACAGTAACAACTTGCTGCATGGAAGTAAAACTTTTAACTGCCCTCCACTACCAGTGGGAATCATGTTTAAGTACACTATCAAGACCTTAGATAATTTTAAATTGCCTCTACAAGATTGGCAACTATGAAAAAGGAGCCCAAGAGTTTTCTACAGCACATAGAATCCCTACAGTGTGGAAACAGGCCCTTCGGCCAACAAGTCCACACTAAACCTCAAAGCATCCCACCCAGCTCCATCTCCCTATAACCCACCTAATCTACACCTCCCTGAAACACTACGGGCAATTTAGCATGGTCAATCCACCTAGCCTGCACATATTTGGACTGTGGGAGGAAACTGGAGCATCCGGAGGAAACCCACGCAGACACAGGGAGAACGTGCAAACTCCACACAGACAGTTGCCCGAGGCTGGAATCAAAAAGGTGGTGTGGGCCAGAAGGAAGGCTTATAATGCAGAAGGCACAGCGGAGGCACTAAATAAAAACCTAGCATCTCTTTTTACCAATAAGGATGCTGCTACAAAAGTCACCATGACAGAAGAGATAATTCAGACATTTGAAGGGTTTAAATTTGATAAGTAGGTTGCATTGGATAGGCTCTGCACTTAAGAGTTACTAACAAAATGAGATTCATCCAAGAATATGATATGGAACTCACAAGAAGTTGGTTTTAGAACCTAGCCTCCCCGATATATTAATGACCTGGAGACTGATCTACAGAATGAAGAAAATGCAAAATCTGCCGACAATACAAAACTGCATTATGAACTGTAAGGATAGTACAGAACTCAAAACGGACAGACAGGTGGAATGGGCAGGCAAGAGACGGATTAAATTCAGTGCAGAGAACTGAGGAGTGATTCACTTCAGTAGCAAGAATGCAGAGAGACAATACAAACTAAATAGTACAATTCTAAAGTGAGTGTCGGATGAGAACATGCGATTGAAGGTGGCAGAGAATGCGTTTGATAAAACAAAAAAATCTTGGACTTTATCAACAGGGGTAAAGTGTTCAAAAGCAAGGCAATTATTTTGAAACTGTGTGAAACACTGGTTCAGCCTTGACTAGAGTATTTGCATCTGTTTTGGACACACCTTAGAAGGATGCAAAGATATTAAAGAAGGTGATGAAGAAATTGAATTGTAACCACTATTCTTGGAGAAAGGATGGTTGAAAGGATATTCAGTAGAAGAAGTATTACTAATGAGGGGTCCAACTGACTAAATATGCAAAAACTGTTCTCATCACTGGAAGGATCAAGAAATAAACAGCATAGACTTATTCTTCCACACAGCTAGTTAGGATTTTGAATATTTTTTAAAAAATTCTCACTCACATCGTTGGCTGGCCAGCATTTATTACTCATTCCTAGGTCGGCCCTCGAGAAGGTGGTGGTGGTGGTGGTGAACTGCATTCCTGACCTGCTGCAGTCCACCTGCTGTGAGCTGACCCACAATGCCTTTAGGGAGGGAATTCCAAGATTTTGACCCAGTGACAGTGCAGGAACAGCAATATATTTTTAAGTCAGGATGGTAAGCGGTTTGGAGGGAAACTTGCAGGTGTTCTTGTTCCCATCTATCTGCTGCCCTTGCCTTCTAGAAAGAAGTGGTCATGAGGTTGAAAGGTGCTGTCTAAGGATCTTTGGGAATTGTCTGAGAGCAGGGTTAAGGCAGATTTATTTGAGACATTCAAGACAGAAATGGATCTGAAAAGGAAGTAGTATCTCCAGGGCTATGAGAAGGCGGGAGAAATGTTTCCTGATGATTGGCTCCATCAGAGACCCAGCAAACAGGATGGGCTAAATGGTGACATTCTGTGCTGTAACCTTTCAACTATTCCACTGAACGTTCTTAATCCTCTTTACTCCAAGGTGAAAACTTCAATCGCTCCAAACAATCTCTGGTATTATTCTAGCAAACAATATTTAAGATGCCATAATTTGGTCAATTGCATTGACTCATTAGTCCTATACCAATTCCCCCCAAAATTGCACACTCTACACAATCCTGCAACATCCTCTCCACTCTCTATAACTGCTATCATAACCAAAAAAAATTGGTTACTACACAGAAATTCATTTGAAAAACCTTAACTTATTGATAGGACACTGACAACCGTACGAAGCAGTGTAGAGCTTGGGAACATGCTCAGATAAGGTCACCAATTAGGGCAAAGATAAAACTGTTCTTGAATCGGGGAATGTCGATCAATGGAGTTCTCCCAGGGGTCTATGGATGCCTAACTGCCGAGCATTTGTGAAACTGAGATTGATATATTTTGGATTTTAAGGCAAAGAATTTATAATCACCCAGGAAAGTGGGTGATTAAGTTCAAAACCATTCAACATCCTTTTGAATGATGGAGAAGAATTGAGGGCCTGTATAACTTTCACCTTCCCCTATTCTTATGCTTGCTTGATTATTCAAAGGAAACCACACACTTACCAGGGCTGAGACCCAAAGCCATACCAAGCTAGCTGGAGAATTTGGAAGCCAAGGCCCAGGAGGATCGTATTCTTATGCCCTATGGACCTCATGAGGATACCGAGGACTACAGTCTGAAGCAAATACAAGTGAAATTAATATTTGATCAGCAAAATCCAAATTAAAAAATGTTGGACTCTGTATAAGTGTACTACATTTAGTGTTCCTACTTTAATCAGAAAGCACTCACTTGAGCTAAAATGGAAAGGATTCCCACAACTGCAATAAAGGCAGCTACAGTCTCTGAAGAAAATCCAATTACCTAGAGAAAACAAAAGCACCCAACAAATAAGAAAACAGGTTAAAAACACACACACATGCATCTTAAAGTACTTACATAGCAAAAACAAGCCAGTCCAACAGGAGGTTATGCTCCACAAGCCTCCTCTCACCCTTCATCTAACACCACTAACATTTGTTTTTGATCCTCACGCATATAGCAAACCGTCTCTTCAACACATTAATGCTATTCCCCACATTCCAATCTCTTGTTTTACAGAACAACATTACAGAAGATACAATCTGGAGTTAATCCAGGAAAGGAATGCAATATTCAAAACATCACAGACTGAACCAAGAGTGAGACAGCCCAGTAATGCTGGAATGCTGAATTCACAACTATCAAGATGATTGTTAATTGAGAGTTATGCACTCCAGCCAATTTTGGATGTGGTGAAGGTTCTACACTGGAGTCTCAAAATTCCTAGAATTTTAATTTTAAGTATAACATTTAAACTTGTGTACACAAATGTCAAGCCCAAATGCTGCCTGGTTGGTGCAGCAAAGGTGTGCCAACTAACTCAGCACACCACAGGAATGGAACTCAAGTTACACACTCCGCTATCAAGAACGTGCTCATAGTATTCTTCAGGTTAAGAAAACACAACATCCCCTCATAGGCCACCCAGGGGGATAGTCAGCAAGATGCATTTGTGCGCACGGGGTGGGGGTGAATAGTTTCCTGTTTATTTATTAGAAGAGCGCAAGAACTGCAGATGCTGGTGTCAGAAGTAACACAGTGTGGAGCTGGAGGAACACAGCAGGCCAGGCAGCATCAGAGGAGCAGGAAAGTTGACGTGTCGGGTCAGGACCCTTCTTCAGAAATGGGGGAGGGGGAAGGGAGCTGGGAAATAAATAGAGGGGGGAGGGGTAGGATGGTGATAGGTGAATGCAGGTAGGGAGTGTCCATATTGTCTCCCACCTATCCACCCCACCCATCCCACTGACCAACCTCCACCACTCCCTACCTGCACTCACCACCCTACCTACCTTCCCCAGCCCCACCCCTCCCTCTACTTCTGAAGGGTCCCGACACAAAACATCAACATTCCCGCTCCTCTGATGTTGCCTGTGTTCCTCCAACTCCACACTGTTGTCTCAGTAAATTATTAGCATTTGATTCAGAGATAATGACTGGTTTCATTTTTGTTTGAAAAACAGGGCCACTTTACCTGTCTGAGATAAAGAAAGAAGCTGGAATACTGGCCTGCTTCAGGCAGGTACGAGAGAAACACTGTAATACAGATCAGCAGAACAGTTGAATCCTGACCCACTTTCTTCAAAGACTGCAACAAAATGGAATAGAAAAAGTTATTTAATGAAAATGCAGACTGAGTCCAGTTGATTTGAAAAGCAGCCTATACGCAACCATTCAACTTTTTAAAAATGCAAAAACAAAGGATCACATATCTCAATTTCACACAAAGAAAATCTGCATCCAAACGTTACTTTTCTAAATAAAAATCACAGAATGTGGGCATGGGTGGATGGGCAGCACATATTGACCATCCTCATGTGCTCTTGGGAAACTGGAGAGTTGTTCTTTTTTTAAACTGCCGCAGTCCATTTGGTGTACACACAGCCAGGATGCTGCTAGGTAAGCAATTCCAGGATGTTGATGACAGCGTATTTCAAAGTCAGGATAAGAAGTGACTTGGGGAGGGGAATTTGCAGGTGTGCCCATCTATTGTCCTTCTAGATGGTAGTGGTAATGGGTTTAAGATACTGCCTACAGAGCCTTGGTGCATCTTGTAGATAGTATACACCACGGCTTTTGGAGCATTGGTGGTGGAGGGAGTGAAAGTTTGTGGACGTGGTGTCAATTAAGTGAGTTGCTTTGTCTTGAATAGTGTCAAGATGTCTGTTTCTTGGAGCTGCGCTCAACTGAGCAAGAAGGGAATATTCCACCATAAACCTCACTTATGCTTTGTGGATGGTGAACATGCTTTTTGGAGTCAGGTGGTGAGTTACTGACTTCAGGATTTTCAGTCTCTGATCTGCTCTCATAGCCACACTATTTATATGGAGTGTCAAATTGAGTTTTTGGTCAGCGGTAATCCCCATGATGTTGATAGCAATGCTTATGTCAATGAATGTCAAGGGACAATGCTCAGATTCTCTCCAGTTTGAGATAGTTATTGCCTGGTACTTGTGGATGTCAATGCTCTTGTCACTTGCCAGAGCAAGTCTGAATATTATCCAGTTCTTGCTGCATTTAGATTTCAGTATTTGAGGAATCACAAATTGTCCAAATGTTGTGTACCAAATGTTACAGCCCCACTTCTGACTTTACAATGGAGTGAAGGTCATTGGTGAAGCAGTTGGAAGGGTTGGGTCTATGACACTACCCTGAAGAATCTCCGCAGAGATGCCTAACCTCTAATAACCACATCCATCTTCATTTGTGCCAGATTATGACTCCAGGCAGTAGAGAATAGTTATCCTTTGTTGACAACTTTAGGGAGCAAAATTTTTCAAGGTATTTTACTGAAGCTGGCATAGTTAAGAGTAAAGCCAAGGGTTTTGAAGGTGGGTAAAGACATGATAGGCTGCAGCAGCTCAGGGAGAATTTTTACATTAATGTGGTACCAGAGGGGGTTGTAACAAAGCCATGAATGAATGAATGCGTGAATGAGGTTATGAATCAATGCAATGGAGGCAGAGAGCCAGCAGCATAACCGATCAGTCCAATTCAGTATGGGACAGGATACCAACAATGAAAGTCTGGAAGTAAAATTTAAGAAGTCTATTAAAAAGTAGTATAAGGAACACAACAAAATAGTAAGACAGTTTGCTGAATTGATTCAGTTCCTTACTGCAAAAGGGTCTGCTTGTTCCCATGAAATTGGTGCACCCCAGGAAGCAGGCCTCATCTTCTCTGGTAAAGACTCTGGCACAGCCACAAGTATAAAACAGATGTCCAGCAAGGCAATTGCAGTGGCCAAAACTACTACAAGATTGTCTCCATATGCCCTGGCCAAGTATGCACCAATGGCTGGACTGGTCACAAGACTAGCTGCAAACGTTGCAGACACCTTGATTGAGAGAAGAAAAAGTTGATTACTTTCCATTTATGGAGACTTCCTTTAAGTTGACATTTTGCAGTAAATTTTGCATACATTCAGACTTTCCAGTTAAGGCAATTTCAGATATATCTAGGAGAGGTAACATACAGGTCAGATACACAATAAAACTCCTTCTGCATTGTCCCAAACACTATGTTAGGTACAGTACAAATAAAGTTCGAATTCTATTGCTCTAGAGACATAGTCCAATCCCAAATCACTGAGAAATACCCTGACTGCACTGGTCAGTTCACAATTGATCAAATTGGCCTTCTTCAGCTGGGGGCTGGGGGAAAGTTCTCCTCAGCCCAGCAGTAATTTGAACCTGGATCCAACAGCAAAACAGTGTAATAAAATTATGTAGTGCCACCCATTGTTTACATTCAGCAAAACTGTCTTATTGAGGAGCTTACATATCTCAATGCTGATTCAAGATTTCAAATGTATTCTTTCAACGTTCAGTAGCTGTCTTATTCTTTCCTAAAAAACAAACCACCGTTGCCAGACAGGTAGAGTTTATTTCATTCTTCAACGTACTCATTGCTTTGGCAAAACGAAACGAACATTAACAGGAAACTAGAGAAAGGAACGAGGAAGAGCAACGCAATCCAATTAGCTACATCCCAAAGCTACTTATCCATGAGGAAGCACAGTGGGGGAAAGCCATTTCCCAACAAGGACAGGAGAAAGAGCACACACAGGACATCTTCCACTACCTCATGTGCAACAGCATCAGCTGAGACCCATCATCTGAGTTTCTGCTTGCCCAGTTAACATGACAAGGAAAGCAAGATCCAGTATACTGCAAGGAGGAGAAGGTGAGCAAGCAAAAACAGACTGAATTGTCACTTGCTGCTCAAAAAGGGAGAAAAATGTAACCTAAGCATGTAGCACAGAAGCTACGACTACTATTAAGCTGTTAATAAACTACTTTCCCACAGCAAAGTCAGAGTCATACAGCATGGAAATAGGCCCTTTGGTCTACCTTGTCCATGTAGACCAGGTTTCCTAAACTGAACTAGTCCCATTTGCCTGCATTTGGCCCATATCAGCTTAAACCTTTCCTACTTATGTACCTATCCAAATGTCTTTTAAATGTTGTCACTGTACCTGTATCTACCACTTCCTCTGGCAGATCATTCCATTTATCAATGACTGTTTGGAACAAGTTGCCCCTTAGGTCACTTTTCAATTTTTCCCCTCTCACCTTAAACCTATGCCCTCTAGGTGTGGACTCCCCTACCCTGGCAAAAAGACCTTGGCTATTCACCTTATCTGTGCCTTTCAGGATTTTGTAAACCTCTAACGTCACCTCTCAGCCTCCTACATTACAGGGAGGAATGTCCCAGCCTATCCAGCTTCTCCCCATAACAAACCCTCCAGCCTTGGTGACACCCTTGAAATCTTTTCTGCACTCTCAGTTTACTAACATCCTTCCTGTAGCAGGGCAATCAGAATTTTACGCAGTACTCCAAAAGTACTGTCTTGTACAACCGCAACATGACATCCCAACTCCTATACTCAATACTCTGTCTGATGTAGGCAAGCGTGCCAAATGCCTTTTTCAGCATGCTATCTACCCGTGATGCCACTTTTGAGGAACTATGGACCAACATCTCAAACGCTTCACACAATGACTGATGTGTTTCATTGTCTATCTTGTCAAGCTTCTTCAAAATCTTCCATGTATCACAGATCAAATTCATTCTTTTGGACTCAAGAACCCAGTTTACTTAGTCTTTCATCAACGGATTCTACCCAGAAACCAATCCAATGAACTTCTCTGCACCACCTACAATACAAACCTGACCTTTCTTAAAAGGAGACCAAATATGTGCAGTATTCCAGGTGCTGCCTCACCAAAGCCCTACATAATTGTAACAAGACTTCCTATTCTTTCATTCCAATTCCCTTGCCATGTTGGCTTTTATTATATTTGCCTTCTTCTCTGCTTCCTATGCCTGCATGATAACTTTCAGTGATCTCATACAAGTACACCCAATGTTCTCTGAAAATCAACATTTGAGTTTCATATCTCAGATCAATAACGAACAGTTGATTTTCTACAATACCTGGGACAGATCCAAGGCCAGATGGGATCTATCCCAGATTACTGCAAAAGGCAAGGGGAGAGAGAGCTGGGGCATTAGCAGATATCTGCACATCCTCTTTGACCACAGGCGAGGTTCCACAGCACTAGAGATTAGCCAATATTATTTCCTTGTTTAAGAATGGAGGTAGGGGATAATCCAGGAAATTGTAGGCCAACGAGCCTGATGTCTGTGGTGGGGAATATCTTGGGGAAGGTATGTGCATTTTTGGAATAAAATGGACTAGTTAGTGATAGGCAGCATGATTTTGTATGGGGAAGGTTATGTCTCACCAACCTGATTGATGAGGAAAGGGCTGTGTATATAGTTGATATGGCCTTTACTAAGACATTTGATAAAGTCTCACATGGCAGATTGGTACAAAATTGGGATTCGGCATAGGCTGGCTACATGGATACAAAATTGGCTTGGTCATAGACAGAGGTTAGTGGTGGAAGGGAATTTTCTTAGAATGGAGACCGGTAACTAGTGGTGTCCTACAGGGATCAGTCGTAGGCTCTCTTGTTTGTAGTATAGACAAATGATCTGGAGGAAAATGTGGGTGGTTGGATTAGCAAGTTTGCAGATGACACAAAGGTTGGTGGAGTTGCTGATAGTGCCAACGATTGTGAAAGGGTACAACAGGACACAGATAGATTGGTGACTTGGGCACAAACAGCAGATGGAGTTTAATCCAGACAAATGTGATGTGATGCATTTTGGAGAATCAAATTTAGGTGTGAATTATACTGTAAA